AGGACTGCCCAAGCTGCTCCCAGTGCACTGCCCATGCTCCAAACCTGCACCTACGTTTTCAGTTAGTGACAAGGGCACAGGGAGACCACAGACCTTGTGAAATCCAAGGGGAAAGAGTGACTTTAATGAAGACCACAGGTGGCTCCTGTAACTGAAGCACCCTTTAAGGTACTGCACCCTAAGGAAGCTGATCTTTACTTGTACCTATGCAAAAGTCCAAGAAAACTGAGCAAACAAGAAGAGGAAAAAAATTGTTAATATTCCTGTGACTCACTGCAAGCAAGAGAAGTCTGTACTAAAATTCAGCAGCACATTGACAAGAGCTGCTCTGCACATCTGCAGCCAGCCCAGATCCCCATGACACCCCTGGGGCCATCCCCCATAACTGTGCACATCAGCTCCAGCCCAGCAGGCAGAGATCACAAAGCAAACTGTCATCTCTGCCTCTTCTGCCAAGGGCCACAGTCATCCTTCACACACACAGGCAAGGTGCACACACATCAATAGCTTACACAAGCTTAGGAATAGCTTGTATATTGTATATTCAATATTGATGTATATTGAATATACATCAATAGCTTAGATGGATACACATCAACAGCCTCAGGTATTTTTTCTTATAGTAGGGGAATGTTCTTATAGTAGAGGAATTTCTACTGTATTGCCTTTTTTCAGGTAGTGGCTTCACTGGAGCCACTTCACTTTTCCCCTTTTGGGATGGAAAATTATATCAACCAATAATGTGTTAAATCAAAACATTTAAAGCAGTCTTATTCTTTAAATTCCAGAACTGCCTTAATAAATATAACAAAAATTTAGAAGAAATATTTTAATTTATTCAATAGACTCTCTGACAAATCATCCTCCAGGGTTTCAGAGGCCTAAGTTTCACACACAGATCTGGAAAAGCTGTAACACCCATTTAATCTTTCTAACTAAGTTAACCATAAAATGCTGACCATAAAATGGAAGAAACACTTTTATTTTTAAATACTCTGAACTGTTTCAAAAGACCTCTGGTGCCAATTCAACAGTTTGCTGCCAAACTCCTAAGGTCATGCATGAGGCATCTGTTAACAGAGTGACACTGATGTGGAGTGTCAAGGGGTTTTTATTTCTTCTTAAAATAAAAAGCAATAGGAACAACTTTTGAGTTTTTATTAAAGAACTCCCAATTCTGGTATAATACCAAATCACAGTGTTATAAGGCAAGACAAAACAGGTCTGTGTAACAAGGCAGAAAAAATTGGTTTTGTGTTTTAAGCACTAAGCAACGGAAAAAATTTCAGCTACAACTGCAGAAAAATTAAAACAGAAAGGAGAGAAGAGACAGCAAGAGAGATGGAAAGAAGGAAACAAATTCAAAGAATGGAGCCCCAGGAGACAGGCAGTGCACAGAAGTAAACAAAAAAATCAGAAACAAGAATGACAGTAGGACACTGACAGGGATTTACTCTCCTCTGTATTCTTTGGACATATCCTGATGAAAGAGATTTTGATCAAAGTTTCTCTCTCTTCTTTCTCTAAGCATCTAGAACATTGCTCTGGATGTTTCCAGATCTACACTACAGAGGGAGTTTTTGAATCTGCTGGAGAGCTCTGAGGCACTTCATGCACAGGAAAACACAGATTTACCAACTGCACTGAGAAATGGACTAAGAAAGTGAAGTGGTCTTGCCTCCACCACCATCCTTCTTAAGAACCCAGATCAATTTACATTCTAGCAGCTATCAGCAATATGGGGGAGAGCTGCAGCCTGACAAAGTTAGTCCAAGACTGCCCTAAGAGGCAACAGTCAGGTAACCTGTGCTGCTTAGAAAATATTTATGTTATTCAAAAGTCACAGAGTAATAACACCTGACATGAAAAACTGTATTTTATGTCTCCAGAAGTGCTTGTAACTTTCAAGCCCTTTTGTCCTCATTTTGTTGCCAGAGAAGAGACTATTATTGTGCAAGAGTTGTTCATGACAGTCCAGTAGTGCCACTGCCCACAATAAAAGCCAATGATGGAGAAACACATGATACTCACTTACTGAAGAGTCATCCAAGATAACTGGATACACAAAAAGCCTAACAGTAAAAGTCAAGCAGTCAAAGCCAACAAAGGCATTTCTACCACTCCACAGCATCCACAAAAAATGAGATTATAACTGGCACGTTTAATTTAACTGAAAATGTATGGTAAAGAGGCCACCTGAGGGAAAAAGATTGCTGGATTTCACCAATAAGCAGTAAAAAGCACGTCACCATGATCAGATCCGTGGTTGGTGTGGGGTGACACCTGCAAACAACCACACCTCTCAGACCAAAAGCATTAGTTGTGCTACTCACTGCTTTTCAAAGGGCACACATGCGCAGAAGCAATGAACTCCCCTAACTGATACCACGAATCAAATCTCACAAAAATACAGTCAGTTTCTGGGGTCTAGTTTTCAGTGGAGAATAAATGATTTTCAATACTCATTAGCCTGAGACACATGCCAGCTGGAGGAAAAACTGTAACCTGCCAGTCACAAGGCAGTGGTCAAGTTTAATCTCTTCAGAAATCACAAAAACCTAATGCTGACTCCTCCCAAACAGAGCACCCTCCAGACTAGTGCCATCAGCTGCTCCTCCTCTGTTAGATAATGAGGATATTTTCAGTTTGTTCAGGTGCATATTCTTCTCCCATCTCCACAAAGATTTTCTGTTTAATTCCCAGTGTCTAGGAACTGTTCTAATTCTTGCAAGATTATAAATGACAGCAAGCTGCCGTTGGGAACACAACCTGGATGCAAGTCATTACCAAGTGATCCTCAGTGATTTGATTATTTTAATAAGCATAGCCTTCCACCGCTATAGCCCATTTTAGACTAATGTCTTTGCCACCATCCTCTGTATCAGCAGCTTCCACCCTCCCCCACGCCTCAAAAAAAAACAAACCAAAAAAACCCCAAACCATCTGCCCGCTAAATCAAGGACATAAACCATGAGCAGCTTTGCAAGTGGAAAGCAGTCATGCACGTAAAGCTCATTTTTTAGGGAAAATTAGGTGATTAATCTTTCTAGTCTATTCTATCCTCCACCCAGCCCAACTATTTCATCCTGTCCGGTTGTGCAACAGCATTTAAAACACACAACGCTACCTCAGGCGCGGTTCAGGTCAATCATTACACAGCGCAAATGTCACCGTTACCTCTACTGCTCAGTAGCGGGCACTGAGAGCCAGACAAAACCTCTGACATTTACAGGTTTTCACGAAATTTTCACTCAAACAGGTGGAACGACAAAAATAAACAGCGGTGTTTGAAACGGGCTGTCCTCACTACAGATAAAACCCGGCTGGCGGCCGAGCCTGCTGCGAGGGCCGGAGCACCCGTACGGGCCCGGCGCGGAGCTCGGTGGCTCCGGGCCCTCACACGGCAGTGGGGTGGGACTGGGGGACCCCTCAGGCCGAGCCACCACAGCGCGTTCCCCCTCGCTGACTGCAGCAGGGGTTTGACTGACGAGCGGATCCCACGGCCGCTTCCAGACACGCCGCATCCCGCGGGCCCGGCGGCGGGCAGCCCGCCATCTTGTCCCGGGGGTCCGACGGGGTACGGGGCGCCAGGCGCAGCCGCCCCCCGAGCGGCGCCCCCCGTCCCGTCCTGCCCGGCCGCGGTCCTGGGCCCCCGGCCCTGCCCCGCCCCTCCGCTCAGCTCACACCTCCAGCTCCCGGCCAGCCATACCCCGCACGGCGCAGTTCTGTCCCGGCCCCATCGCTCCTGCTGCCGCTCCGCACCGCGCACGCGCCACTGCCCAAGATGGCCGCGGGGCCGCCCCTTAAAGGCCGCCCGGCAGGACGGGGGGCCGGGGCTCGGGTGGAGGTGACGGGATGTGCGGGACAGGGGGAGGGAGGAGCGGACCAGCGGTGTCACCAGCCTCACGCCAGGCACAGGGCTCTCAGGGAGGCCTCTGCAGCTGTAAAATGGGTGTTGGGCACTGTCTCTTCTTGCTTCTGTTTCTGGTGCTGTCAGTGCCCAACAGCTCTGCTTAGGGCAGATCGCTGTATGAGCCCTCTCCTGTGTAGTTGTGGAAAGATGAAGCTGAAAAGTGATATCCACTGAGTGACAGCCGCCTCAAACCTCATAAACTTGGGTATTGATCTGAGAATTACTATACAATAAAAAAGTACTATGGAAGTTCTATACCTGATTAAAGACTCATTACTCTGGGAGCTCGTTTATGGTTGGACCTGATGTGTGCTTATGTACAAAATACTTCCATGGGTGAGGGGTTGGGTGTTAATGTCTCTGAAATGCATCTTAATGTCTCTACCAACTTCAAGCAGCAGGTTTGTTACAGAGCCCAGACAGTCTGACTCTGGAACAGACAAATGGGCCCCTGAGTTTCTGAACTTTTGGGGAAAATTACATATACGAGGGGACAATATGTGCTAGGCGGTTCGGGAAGGCTGTACCTTCCTAGTACCTCAGCCCATGGGGAAAGGAAGAGGGCAAGGTGCAGCTGGGAGTTCGGGGTAAAAGAGCCTGTGTCCTCCAAACCTTGAGACAGAAAACCCTGCGGGTGTGTGCCCAGTGAACTCTGCGTGATTTTTCCGCACTAACTCGATCTTAGAGGCCTCTTTCAACTTTAATGATTCTGTGACCTGTTCAACAGACTTTTCAACCCCCACGCCTACTGCTTCTCTCGCACACCATCATGAATATGACACACCTTTTCCTTGTATGCAGTTCTGAAGCTTCACACGGTCACGTTCCTCTTCCTCACCTCTGTGTTCACTAGACACTGACACTCGCAGTTCCTCACTCGGCCCCGCACATCCTGAGGGGCCCGGCCGGACCGAGATTTCCGCACCCGCGCAGCGCCGCCCCGCGTGCGGACTACGCTTCCCGGCGAGCCCCGCGCGCGGCCTCGGCTCCGCATGCGCAGGAGGACACAAAGGGCACGGCCATTGCACCCCCGCCCCTCCCTTTTCCACGGCGCGCGCTCCCGCCACCCGCCCCGCCCCGGCCGCGCTCCCGCCCCGCGCTCCCGCCGCCTGCTTCGCGCTTCCGCCGCGCGTTCCCATGGCGCTGAAGCGGATACAAAAAGTGAGTGGGGCCGAGCCGTGGGAGGGGGCGGAAAGGTCCCCCTGCGCTCGGGTAGTGGCCGGGGCTGTCCCCTTGTTGGCGGGGTTGAGGCGGCGGCCGGAGCGGGCTCAGCAGAGGTGTCGCGGTAGCCGCTGCCGCGCGCTTTCTCTGCCAGGACTCGTCCTTCCCTCGTCGGCAGCCGGGGAAGCAGAGTGGGTGTGAAACGGGGAAGGGGGGCTCTCGTCGGCCGCCTCACGGTTTCGGGACTCTGTCCTCTGGAAGGCCCCGCAGCTCCAGTCGGTGCCCTAAGGCGCCGTTGGCGGAGGAGCCGCGGTGCCCCGGGCGGTGCGGGAGCGGGGAAAGCCGCGGTGCTGATGGGGAACCCTCAGCAGGGCGCAGGGACAGCATCAGTCACTGCCCTTGTGCGCGGCTGCTCCGCGCTGTGCTCTGGGCAGGGTTAAGAAGTGTTGTCAGCATAGTTCTTGATGTGACCTTTGAGTGTATCCCAGTTGTGGCGTTTTGGGCTGATAGGGATAAATGGCCTGGTTCAAGTTGTGAGTTGCCGGTTTCCTTTTGTTTGGCAAGGCTGAGGCGGTCGCTGTACCGTGCGGACCGGGTGTCGCGGCCAGCACCGGGGGGAGCGGAGGTTCGTGCTTTGGCCGTGGAACAGAATCCGCGCTGTTTGGTTGCTGTTGCTGTGCCATGTTTAGGGCGGCATCGGTGCTATCCTGGTTACGTGACGGTGCGATTATTTCTTGTGCAGGATTCCCTTTTGCTATCGGAAGCCATTGGTATTGCAGAAATAGGATTCTGTAGTGACCGATTAACCCCACAGTAGGCAGATTCGGGACACCCTACAGTAGATACTAACTTTGGATGGATTTCTACCAGAAGCTGGTAGTCCTGTCTCATGCTGCGAGGCTTAAGCCTTTACACAGGACAATTTTGTTCCTTCATATCACATGTTTGTCATGAATGTTGCATTCGACCAATATATCAAATTACTACAGTGGTTTTCTTTAGGAATAACTTTGTCTTGCTTCTACATATTATACAAATGGTTTGCCTCTTGTTGCCACTTTCATTTCGCACATCTTCTTCAACATCTCTTTACCCTAGTTTCAAGAAAAGGATTGTTCTGAATACCATCTCTTTACAATTCTTGTCCAGCTTCTTTCTGCTAAGATAAACAGACAAAGGGGAGAGTCTGGTTGTCTAGTATTTTTGAGATGGAGTGGTGGTTTGGGGCTTTCCAAATGAAGTCCTGCTAGAATAGAATCAGCCTTCATACTTTTATCATGTTCCCTGCATAACTTTCTTTCTGCTTTACAGACATTCATACATATTGGAAAGCCACAGTTTTCTTTAATGTGGCATTTAAGAACTTTTGATAGATGTGAAATTATGGTTAGACTTTTTATCTAAGTATCTTTCATTCTGTTAGCCTTATTGTGTTTCTACTCTTTCAAAATAAAGTGATGCTTTCCAACCTGCTGACTGCAATGTGCTATGAGATTTCCTGGTTTTACAATAATTCCCACCTGAAACATGAAGAGATACTGGGTAAGGACCTCCAAGAAGAGTTGAGATTAAATTCAGAACTAGTTACCCCTTGCTTCTACTTTGCTGCAGAAATGACTACTGCTGGCTTTCTTTTTTTTTTCCATTAACTACCCTCATCACTCTCTTCTGCCTTTCCAGGAGAAGAAAAAATTCTTCTAGAGGGATTTGGCCAGCAGTCTGTCTCTGAAGAAGTAGAAGAGGAAAGGGAATGGCAAGGCAATAAGTTTGTTTCAAATGGAAAGTTAAAATGAAGTGGAGAAGTTTGAAAAGACAAACTATTTTGATGTCACTGTAATGCATAAAATTTTCCCCAAAAATCATGGAGATGGAAGTTTAATGGTAGATGAAATGTATTTGTATGTTAGTGTGTTTGTCTTCTCTACTTTCCTGGCATTTCAGACTGGCTGTAAAGGTTGATAGTTGTGTTGTATCTGAAGGATAGGAAGGGATAAGATCTGGAGTAGAGGAAATGCTGTGGTTTCAGAGTGCCTAGAGGAATTCTTTGGAGAACAAAACACTGTCAGCAAACACAGTGGCATTGCTTGGGAGCTCATCAGTCTAGACACTGTCTGGAGTTAAACTTCAGTGGGTTTAGGATGCTTCAGAATTGTGCTTAAACAAAGCTAAGGGATTTTGGTGTCAAGCTTGTTTGTTCAGAGTAATTTTGATAATTTGTGTGTTCAGTGTGACAGCACCTATGAAGGAAGCAAAGCTATAATATGTCAACCTGTTAGTAAGCATATTTTTGTCATAGTGGTTGGGACTCTGATTCCTAAGTAATATTGCCCCTGGGATCTGTGTCATTGCATCCTGCCTTTGGCTGCCTGTCTTCTTCAAGGGGCTCCTCAAAGGACAGCACGTGGACTTCCAAGGCTGCACCCTAGCCACAGACAGACATACTGTGCTTGGGAGCTTTCTTAAAAATGGGCAGCTGAGTAACCAGTGAAGAAGCTGCTCCCTGCACATGGAGGTATTTGATCCTGGTGCTGCAGGAGGAAGAACAGTGAGGACATGAAGCCCTGCTCTGCAGGCACAGCTGTCAGCAGTGTCTCCGTGCCAAACTCATCTCACAGTTCCTCAGAGAGTTTGGGGTTGGGGGGTTCTTACTCATCACAAGCTGAGGATCCTGTGTTCATTTGCCTTGTGAGTGCTTTGCTTTGCTGTTGTATGAGAGAGGCACTGTCTCTACACTGTCAAAAAAGTTCAGCTACACTGTCTGTGATGTTCCTTGGGGCAGTGAAAGAGCAACACATCTTTGTGGGCACTGTAAATTCCAGATGCTGCAAATGATGAAAGCAAAACAAATAGTGTAGGTTTTTTAGAAAGAAATATTGTGCAAAGAAGCCTTTATTCTCGCCACCTCTGGAAAGTGAGATACCATGCCTTTTGTGAAAGGTGGAAAATAACTCAGGCTGTCAGGTTCAGCACAATAGTGTGTAGGTCTCAGTTCTGCCCATCTGTCTTATGCAGAACCATTTTTCTAGGGTTCCTGTTGTAAATTCTTTGTTCACATATCTAATTTGCAGAGTTTGCCATCCTGGTAGTTCCATATTGCAGCTGAGATTGTTCTCATCATAAGTCCTGTACCTGGGTGCTCCTCCAGTGTTAGTGGGAGGTTGATGTGCTGGTTAATGCTCAGGCTGTCTTGTACATACTTTTGTTCAGGACTTCAAGAGATTTTAGAAGACATTTTGAAACCAGGAGGGAGGAGATAGATTTGAACACTGCTTTAAGAATAGCTCTTGTTCTTACCTTTTTGATGCATAGTGCTTGGTTGGTTTTCTTCTACAACTCAGTAAGAATAGAAGCATTCAGACATTGAGTTGTTTCAATGAACTATATGTCTCTGTGGTTCAGTATGTGTTTCATATATGCATAGGCTAACAGGACATACTAACTTAAAGTTATGTTGAAAATAACTTTTGTTACTGTAAATTGATTCAAATAAAAATTATTGATATTTGTGGTTTAGATTTTGACTTTAAACCTGCAGCCTTTAGATGGTAATCAACATAACAAGGAAACTTTTCTGACTCTAACATAAAATGTTTGCATTTACTTTCAAGTCCTCAGCTGAGATACTACATATTTTAGCAATTTTTTTTTTTGCATTAGAACAATGTATGGAAATAGAATATTTATTACTGATTAACCATTATAGCAATAAATCTTATTATAAATATGTGCTTTATATTTACCAAATTTGTGAAGAACCAGAGAATTCTTTAACTAGTCTTAAGTATAATCACTTTGGGGTTTTATGACAATGGTTCCAAGCAGCAGTGTATGCATGGAATTGGTAGGAAATAAATCTGTGGTCTACAGTGCATTTTGTGCAAGAAATTAAGAACACAACTGACAAATATAAATCTATTTTTTAAATAATAGTGTGGAGAAAGGTTGTGGTTTTGTGGTGTATGGAGGATGAAAATAGCTTTTAGTGATGCTGTCTGCAGTTTATTTTGGTCTTCAGATAATCTGCAGTCTTTTTTTCTGAATTTTTTTTAGACTGAAAAAAGATATGTTTAGTACTTCTATGTTGAGAACATTTATTTCCTTATCACCAAAGTATCCTTACAATGTTGTTCCAATAGCTTTTTGGGAGAAAAGCCTGGATGCTAATCAAGCATGTAAGTGTTAAATTGGCCTTGCAGTGTTCATACTTTTATGAAATACATCCTGTATTATTCATTGACCATGGGCATTAGTCTGCACATTCAGAAATGTCTCCAACGTTTATAGCTTACCACAGCCTGTTTTTTACAGCTGTTAAACTTGAATTTTTGCTTCATGCTGTCTACAGGGCTGTTCAGGAGTGTGTGTGTTGCAAGGGAAGGTAATTTGGAGGCTTGGGCCATCTCCAGTAGTATGTTAACCATTAGTATTCTATTCTACCCTGAAATGTTTTGTATGAGAGGATTAGAGGATTTATTCCTACAGTGTCCCCAGCTTAGGTATTTTTCTCTGTGCATGTTTATCCTGGCATGTGTTGGAGCTCTTGAGAGGTGCTTTTATGCTGTCACATTCACCAGTGTTTGCAATAACTCTTCCTTCTGATGCATCTCTTGCAGACAGAATCTTGGGTTTGTGTGTTCTCATAAAAGATGTTGCACCAGTGTACACTGTAATTTATACTGGTGACTTTCTCTTTTGAAAATGAATCTGCTTTGAGCTATAGATCCTGTTTGTCAGCATATGTGCATCTTGTACCAGCACTTTCTATACCAGTGACTAAAAGTATTCGTGCAGCCCCTTGAAGTGACCAGGCCTGCCTCATGCAGCTACATGGTAATAATCCATAAAGCTTGGACAAAGCTGCTTAACTTAAAATTGACTTAAAACTACAGGGCAATCTCTAGTCTTTACTGTAGTGCCTCACATGCAGTTATCTTGTGCTTCTTGATGAGGTTTCAACATGTTAGGCTTTGAGAATCTTCAGCCTTGTCCCTTAACAAAGCAAATTTTTGGCCTTCTTCTAGAGAGCATCTGTGCTTTGTATAAAGAATTCTTGTATTCTCATTCTTTCATGAATATGTACAGTCATGAAGAAGTTTTTCTTCATGTATTTGGAGGATCCTCATTTCTGTTCTGCAGTGTTCAGTTCTGGCACTGGCAGGTCAGACTGATTCAGGGACATCTGGGTATCTCCTTGCTCCATTTCAAAAGGTATAGGAAAGCTTTAAACCTAAATCTTACAGCTCTCCAGATAATTTTGCTTTGAACCTAAAGCTTAAACAGTATCATCAACAATGTAAATCTGAATAGTTCTTCCTTTTTATCACAGCTTGATCTGAATTTCTGTATATAAAGATTCAAACTGTTCATACTGTTGGATGATGTTACCACTTGTATTTTTAAACCACACTAGCTTCACATATGGATGCTAAATGCAGCTTGAATTTGCTCTGCTGATTTTGAAGTTTGATCTGGCTTTATGTTTTGTAGGTGCAGAAGGTCTCAGAATGTATTTGTGAACATTGCTCTCAGTTGGTGAAGTTGATTGAAGAGAACCTTTTCCTCATTGTTCTTAGGAAATATTAATTACAAGGGTTTATAAGTGTGGGTCTCATCAATGTATGATGAAAAATATTTGCTGGTTTTTTTTCTAATCATGAACAGATGTCAGTGCCTTTTTAGCCTGAACAAATTGAAGTGTATGCCCAAGGAGCCTTCCCCAGTTCTGTTAATTCTTAAGTACATGTGTATGTATGAAAGAAAACAAATTTGTGTGGTTTTGGGGTATGTAAAGATCTTGATGAACACATCTAGCAACGAAAGCACTGTTACAGACCTGTGACTCTAAGTGGTTGCCTGGTAGTTCTTATGTGCATATGGAATGTTTGCATATACTTCAGAGACTTTCTGAAAAGTTTAAACTACATGTTTTTCCAGTTACTGCCTTGAATTTAGTAGTCAATAATGACTGTTGCAAAATGCATGATTGTTAGTGTGAGTTCTCTGTTTTGGTGCTGTAGTTGCAGCTGTTTGGTTTTGGTTGGGTTGTTTTAGTGTGTGTACAAGTCTTCATTTTCTCTTGTTAGGTTAGATCTTGAGTTGCAAGGTAGAGAAGACAGTGCCTGTAACAGCTCTGCTGCTGGTCATGTTTGGTGACTGCTGGAAACTTGAGATTTGTTGACTCCCTGTGTGTACTGGCAGTGCCCTGGCTTTGCATAAATAGCTGGTTCTCTGAATCACTCCTTAACGAAATTTGAATCCTCTGATTAAAATAGGAACTGCATTTCTCAAGTGCCTTTATTGGTTAAAGTCTAGCCCAGAGTGTTCTTTCTGGATCAGCATACAGAATCAAGTGTACACAAGTAATGCCAGTTGCCAGCCTGTGCTATTTCAGTATAGGAAAAGGTGTCTGTTTTGTTTGAAATCACAAGATTGTGAGAAGTCACTTCAGAGCAGTAGTAAGATAGGGTGCAGTGCTTTTCTTTGATTTCAGGGCCAAGAGTGGAGCTGTAAGTCTGGCTGAATTTAGGTGTTGGGTCCATGGTAAATTGAGTTGAAATATTTACTGGATGTCCTAACTGGAAAAAATATCTCACAACAGTTGAGAAGTGCAGATTTTTAACCCTTCAAATTATATGTAAGGCCTGATCACACTAAGTACACCAGTTCTGCACTTGAGTTAAACTTTGCTCCAGTTTAAACCTTGATTTTGTAAGTAGTTGCCTTGACTAATTTATTTTGAGTAGAAATGTTTCTGGTGTTACTCCTTAAGGTAAACTCACATACCTGCTTATGTCTATTGTGGACTTAAATGTGTGTGTTTTGAGTAAGGAATTGAGTTACTTACAAACACACACCCTTTAACTTATTTCAAAGGAAGTACTTGCATGTAGTCATAAAGTTCCTACAGGAGAGTTTCTATCAGCCTAGAATTGGAAAAAGCTTTCCTTAGTACAGTAATAGTTCAGACATCCAAAGGAGTATATGGAATCAAATGAGGAAAATGAACTAACATTACTACCTGTCTTGTTTGAAATAGTGATGATAAATCAGATGAAAAACAGTGCTGACTTTGTGAAATCACATAATAATTTTAAATTATTTGGGACTGTGTGGACTCCAGCAAGAGAAATAAATCAGTTGACCACCAAAAGTTCCTCTGAGTGCTTAAGTTTTAACTTGGGAGTTTTTTAGTAGCCATTAAAAAAAAAAAAAAGCAAGCATGCAGGGAATTGAATCAAGGTAAATAAGGTGTAGAGCTAATATTTTTCCTTTAGTTTCCAATTTAGTTAGGATCCTTTGTATTATGTTCATACATCATCTTCAGGCAGGCTGCAAACTTTTTATCAGCTGGTTTAGCTCAGCTGATGTTCACAGACTAGGACAATACAGAAACTTTTGTAAAATCAAAGGCTAAGGGAATGATCAGGTTAGTACCTAACTAAATTAAACTGTGAGTTTACAGGCTAATCAAGAAACCCTTCTTATTTATTTTGTCTCCTTCAAGTATATTGAACTTACTGTGAACTTGGTTGCAACTCTTAAATTCTTTCAGATATTAATTTCTAGCACAGTGTTAGCTGCAGGCCTTCTGGCAAAAAAGCTTTTTCAGTTTCAATGGACATTTCAAGTGTTGACTGTTTTATCAAAATACCACAAAAAGTGCCCATGGGTTTAATAAAACTGGTTTGTGTTCCCACTTTGGAAGGGATGCTGCCAAGTGGTATGGATTTTCATGTCTTTGAAGTATTTCTGTGTTTCTTGCAGGAACTCAGTGATCTGCAGCGAGATCCCCCAGCCCACTGTTCTGCTGGACCTGTTGGAGATGACTGTAAGCTCTTCCTAGAACATTCAGTACATTTCAGTTCTGGAAAGGCTCAGAAAATCTCTAATTGCTATATCTTTTTTGCCTTTCAGTGTTTCATTGGCAAGCAACTATTATGGGACCTGTAAGTATAGGAATTGTGCCCCTTAAAATGTAATACCTTGCTTCTCTTTTTGTTACAGAAGGATTCATTTGGGTTTCTGTAGACACAGCAGCCACATTCAGCTGAGCTGTGAATAGTTAAAACTTTAGGGTGACATTGTTGTTCTTATTAGTCTGGTACCAGTTGCTTTCTGTAACTCCTCAAAAATCCCTGCTCTTCATGAAGTTAGAGGTGTTTAATTAGTCAGCTGTGGTGTTTGAGTTGGTGATATGGAGCTTGCTTTTCACAGATGATCAGCCTGGAAGATTCATCCATCTGAAAGGAGGAAGAGTGGGTGAAATCTAATATTAAAGTTGCTAACTGCAAACAATAGTGGAGTTGCAGAGGGTTTTTAAATGGAGCTTATTTTTTTGATAGTGTACAACCTGGATGTAAACCTGTGCACGTGTTGTGTAACAAAATGCACGTGCACAGATTTGTGTGGGTCACAAAGATGTTGTGTGTTTTAAAACTCCCTGATATCATCATGATGAACTGAATTCTGTTGGAAAATCCCACTCTTTGCATCTGCAAAGAGAAACCACTTGTTAGGGTAAGTATGTTTGTAGCTTGAGAATGGAGGAAGATCAGAGCAGCTGTGGTCTTGCACAGGGACAGGATTTGGAGGACGTGCTGTGGTTTCTGTACTCCCTTCAGTGCAGTGGAGCCATGGAGCTCCCTCCCCTCTTTTGTCTCCCAGCAGGGCAGTGCTCAGTAACTGTGCAGTGCTGCTGCAGCAGTAGCCACTCTTGGCTCTGTGTAACTCTGCAGGCCAGTGGGAGGGTTCAGTTCCCTCTGTGCCTTCCCAGTTCTTGGCCACAGTGGGCTATGTACTGGGGAAAAAATGGATTTTCTCTAGGAGAAGGGAAGCTCCAAAACAGCTGAAATATATTAATGTGTTTTATCTGTTTTGTTTTTTCCTCAGCCTGATAGTGCATATCAAGGGGGAGTATTTTTTCTCACGGTACACTTTCCAACAGATTATCCTTTCAAACCACCAAAGGTAAGTCCTTTCTTTAAGGAAAGAAAGTTTTTAGCTCAAAGTTTATTCCTTGAGGCTTAATTTTGGAAGTTAAACTGGAAAGGTGAATCACAGTATACATGGATGTATACTTATCTTCATGGATGTAGATAAGACTGTCAAAAATTTGTGCTGGCAGATCTGATATGACTGGAAAGGAAGGGATGATGTTAAGGATTCCAAATATAATAACCCTAATCTGATATTATTTGTTTTTTATTTTTTTTTATTACAGATTGCTTTTACAACAAAAATATATCACCCAAACATAAACAGTAATGGGAGTATTTGTCTTGATATCTTGAGATCACAATGGTCACCAGCTCTGACTGTTTCTAAAGGTAAACTCACTGATTTGATAATGCATGTATGAAGCTGCAGACACTGCCATGGCACTTCCTTGGTGTATTATTGCACTGTCTTAAAGGTAAACAGTGGGAACTAACTTATCCTGCATGTTTCAGAAGAGGCAAATTCCATTGGAGTTCTGGTTACGATCTAAGATCTTGTGCAGTTTATTGGGAGTTCATTACAAAAAAATGCATGCACAGCAAAGAAATATTCTAAACCAAGTTGGGTAAGATAATAATGTACATTTAGCCTGAAATGTTCATGCCTGACTTTGCATGCTGAATGGAGGAGAAACTGATAAGCAGGGCTTGAAAATCACAACTTGGGAGTAGATGTGAAACCCTGATACTGAGGTTCTGTGAGCTTCCATGATTGCCTGTTAATGACTCTTCAGGCTGCCTGAGCATCCTTGTGTGGACTAAGGTCTTAATTACACTTTCTTTAAAAATGAGATCATTTGTTCTGGTTTGCATTCCTTTGTAAGAGGAATATTTCAAAATGTAGCTCCTTTCACAGTCATCAGTAAAAGTTTTCTTAAAATATTCTCATCCTGTAGTTAAGCTTTTTCAAAACTTGAACAGTGCAGATTTCTGGAACATTGACTCAACAGTTGAGCAGTTCTTTTGCTGCAGGCATTTTGTGTCACTTAAAAAGCTGCTTAAAATGTGGGTGCTGTTGCTTCTCCTCACCCATCTTCAAATTGCTAAGGCACCCTTAGTCATATTACAGAAATTCCTCATGTGACTCAAAAGGTCAAGAAGCCATATCACATCTCCTGTAGTTGGGAGCTCTCTGAGCTGTGTGCCAAAGTGTCACTGCACTGGGTGTACAAGCAAAGAACAAATTGTGGGGCTTTGTCCAATGGAAATTGCTCTGTGCAAGTCCAGTTGCTGTATCTCCTTGGAAAAACAACTTCTCTTGTTTACAGGCCTGTGCAGTAATCTCACAAGCCATATGAAATATAAGTCTAATATTCTGTTTCCTCAGCTCATTGCTAAAGACATCAATTACTTTTATGTGTAATTGGTATCATTTTTTTCCACATAAATTAGTTGTTTTATAGCTATCCAAAAATTGTATCTAGTTATTAAGCAAATGAAAATTGCCACTTAGGTTTAACAGCTGGCATCTACAACTGAAAACCTGTAAAATTTTTAGATCTTCAGCATTTTTCTATCTCTTTACTTGCTGAGCACTTCTTTGGTAATAAAGTGGAGCAGGTCTCATGTTCAGATATTATGTATTTAATAAACTGGAAACTAGCTCAGTGACTCATGGAAGTTTCACCTTTCTAGTCTTTGTTTGATTGAATCAAAAGTTGACAGCATACTATAACACCTCTGACCATCTGTGTGACCATGTATTCTAACCTGATTTCTGACACTATTACTGACACTTAAAATAAGTCAGTTGAAGTGGCTGAAATTTCTGCTCCTGAAAATAGGAGTGGGTTCTTGGGTAACAAGATAAAGCAGGGAGGAAAAAAGGTATTCTACAGCTGATTCTTATGGCAGCGTGAAGTTCCCTTTCACAACATATTTAGAATTATTTAACTGTATACTCTTGTATGCATATTAGTTCTGACCATAAAAATATAAATTGCCTGAAAAGTATGGCCTGAAAATGTTAGGTAAAAAAATCAAACCTCCTTGGTTCAATACCAGGAAATTAATATGAAGTTATAAGTGAGTACCTGTATTTAATGCTGATCAAGTATTTCCCACAATGGAAGTCACACTTAGGTAAAATGTTTTTATGATTGAGAGAATAACTGTCAGCACAGAAGTGGAAAAGGATATGCACAAATAGAGTACTGCATGGCAATGTAATATTAATAATATTAGTTACCTTAGCTGCAGCTGCAAAGCTTAGTTTGACCAAAATCTATATGTAACTGTAGTCTGTAGTTGGGTTCCTAGGCTAGGATGTGGGAGAGAGATCCTTACAAAAGTTACAGGTTCATGGCTGCAAATTCCCTGGGCTTGTGTCAGGTGTTTACTTCAGCCCTAGAAAAATAATGCTGTATAAACATTTCTGGGCAGAACTGTTAAATGACAGCTTAATTCTGATATGCATTCTTCTTCCTATACTCTCCTACCACCTCCTTCAGTATACTGGAATATATTAAAGAATTGTAGAAATAAAGTAAACTAACTTGTTTAATCTAGTGTCTCTTTTATTTAGTTTTATTGTCCATATGCTCCTTACTTTGTGATCCTAATCCAGATGATCCTTTAGTACCAGATATTGCACAGATCTACAAGTCAGACAAGGAAAAGTGAGTATAACATACATAAAACTGTGTGTGTGGTACTTGCAGGTGGCTGTCTGCTGTGCACCTTCAATATTAAATTTAGCAGTTCTCTTTTGCTAGATTTCTACAGGATTAGCTCTTTAAATATTGGGAATAGCCATGGCAAGTAGAAAACTGTAGGCATACACAGCTGTTGGTAACTAATTTTTTGTACTTAATTACATAAAACCCTCATGCTTCTGTGTAACAGATTGATTGCATAAAAAATTATTTTCCCAAATATGAGTTACTTGTCACTACTGCAATCCTCTGGTTGTAAAACCTGTACAGAAGAAATTTGGACCTTCTGTTTAACTGCCTGAGTTATTTGGTACCTATTTTTCAGTGTTGAGCCATTGAAGACTTGCTGCAGTGCATGCAGTGGCTCAACACATGTCACAGGTTCAGGCAGATTTGAGTATTGCTTTTACCTTGAGCAGTAGAGAGCAAAGGAGTCATGTAGAACTTACATGGACATCTGTGGTCTAATATTTCTCTGCCCAGACTAAGAATGATTAAATGGCCTTTTTCTCACAGTTCAATGTCTGGAATAGTCAAATCATGTAACTCCTGAAGTGCCTGAATGCTGTAGCTCATTCTGCAAAGTAGATAGTGTTCAATAGAGGAGGTTGTGCATCAGCTTCTCCCCATTTCTGGCTCAACTTTTTTTCCACCTACTTATTAGTGATTTCTGTTGTGCCTCCTGTTTGTGAAGGAAATGAATGAGGGATGGTTTTCCATCTCCAAATCTCAAAATTTAATCATTGCTAGGGAAAGTGAGAGAATATGTAGTGTTGACTGTAGCTTTATCTTCTTAAAATGACCACCTATTAAATTTTTGTTTTACCTTGGATTTAGGAAATGAAAGATGTGGCTGGTTACCCCTGAGTATTTTATTATAAGTTAAAATCCAAAGACTTATATGGTAGCATATTCTTAAGAAGAAAACCAATTAGTAAATGAGTTGCTATACTGATCTTAAGAGCTAAAAACTTGTCAGTATTTTTCTCTGGTTGACTCAAGAAGAGTAGAATGTAGCAAATGTAAAGACCTGAGTGGAAGCTATCAACTCTAAGGACATTTACCCTTGGGATTATGGAATTATAAGATAATCAGCTTCATACCAGAAGGAAAAGACCCAAGACTTAAAACCTAGTAAAAAATGCTTTTCAGAAAATTTTCTTTTCAAGTTCTGAAATGCAGCTGGCAGTGCAGAACAGAGAATAAAATCCCAGTTAATTATACTGAATTTTGTAGAACTCAAAAGTGTAAACTTTGTCAGACTCTTAGTAGCATATGCCTCTAGGAGTAGTTGACAACCAATTGCTGTGAAGGTGCAAATAAGGGAACCAGTTATGAAATACAAATGAAGGATGCACGATTTAATGCAAACCTGTGAAGTTGGGTTTGAGTCTGATAGCTCTGGTACATAACTTTGAATGTGTAGTGGGTGTGTACTTTGTGCTTTTAGACAGTTTTAGTGTTCTTTGACTGTGCTCAGAGGTGCAAAGCTCAGTAACAGCTGTATTAAGTAAGTCCATGGCCATTGTCAGTGTATCACTAACAGCTCTTCACTGTAATGCCTTCTTTCTGCACGTACAGATACAACAGACATGCAAGAGAATGGACTCAGAAATATGCAATGTAAACTTTTGAAGACATTTTCATATACCACAGAGTACTGTAAATTCTAGTTTTTTTCAAAATTAGAAGGAAATGGAGCACAGTTTATGGTTTCAATGTGACACCCCTTGAATTTTTTTTCACCCAAGTAAGTGTGTTTCTGGAGCAAGAGAGAACAAACTTCCAAAAATAACCTTATGACTTTGGTAAGAATATTTATCCTCTTTGTATGCTTTGCAGAAAACATTTATTATAGTTTTTAAGAGTTGGACACCTGCATCTTCAGACTACAAGATCTATAATTCAGTTGTAAATCAGTGAAATTATTTTTGCTGGAAAAAGTAGCTGTTTTCATGTGATGAATACTGTATGTGTGTCATTGAAGTACGTTGTCTGTTTCATAAGTGTGTTCAAGTTTCTTTTTGTTAGTTCTCTTATATAATTTGTATTTTTTTACTGTATAGACTTATTTTATTTACAATGTAAGTCATTTCAGTTTAGACTTGCTTGTGCACAGTATTGACAAGATACAACTGCTAATAGTGAAAATAATTGGAGTATCTCACCCATTAAATATTCTGAAGACTGACTGCAGACTTCTTAAAACCTAAAATGATCTTTGCACTGTAAATCTTTGTATGCTGATTATGGAGAAACACTTGGTTTTGATTCTGTTGCATACTTGACTTAATTTTATTGCAATGTGAACTAATTGCACTGGTATGTAGAAAGATATGTAACTATTCTGTTGCTATTCACAACTGATTTGTGACGTGTGGGCAACATAATACTATCACAGACCTTTTACAAATCCAGATGTAGCCTTTTCCATATAAATAAAATACATTTTCTACTTTCCTTGGCTATTTTTTTTTAATTTTAACTCCTGCATATCCTTAAAGTACTTGTTCCACCATTCTAACAGAGAACTGCCAGTAGTGTGTAAGTCTTGTAGGCAGAATGTCCAATAAAGCCTTGCATCATGTACTACTCAGAACTGGGCTCTAAGTTCATTTTTATGCTAGTTCTAGCTTAGTGGATTTAGCCCATGGTTGGATAGAGGATTTCAAAGAGGTTCATGCCATGCCACACCAATAGGTGGTGTATTTGCAATACCAGACTGTTACAGTAAAATCACACTTGAAAGTAACTTTTCCAATAACTTGCACTTCAGCTGCTTCAGACTATGCATGTGGAAAACCCATCTGTTCTTAAAACACAGATCAAAAGCAGAAAAACTCTTGATTTCCTACCTTTCATTCTTCTTGGTTACTTGAAAATAAAAAAAGATGACAAAATGTTTTTCTCTGTACCTTGTACATGAAAGAAAAATTACTTTCCATTGGGAAATTTGTCATCATAAAATACATTTTTAACATGACAGATACATTTGATTGGGTTGTTTTTGTTTTTTATTTGAACATGCATCAAACTGGAATGTGGGGCATGGGTGGTAAGCATGCACAGTAGCAGCTTTTATTCCTACCACTGGGATATTAACTTCATGTTTCCTGATTTACTCACCTTAGGTTGGTCACATATGGGAAAATGTCATTTTTGGACAGTTTTATCTATGATGTAATGGTGACATTTGAAACAGCAGCTTGATTGAGATTGGCTCCAATAATCTTAAAATATTCCTGTTAACTACATTTTGCAAGCTGACTAAATGGATTTGGTTTTGTTACTGAGTGCTTCATTATATTTGAACTGGGGCAATGGAGCTAGGAAGGCAAAGATATCATTTATACTTCTTGCTCAAATGATTGTAGAAAACTGACCATCAGAATGTGTTCAGTTTTTATTTTCTCTAGGTAAAATAGCAATCTCTGGGTGCTAGAAGTTACTTAAATTTTTGGAATATCTGTACAGAACTGTGTGAAATCAGAAGTTGGACTTGGTTTCTTTTGGTTTATCAGTTTGTTAGGGATGGTTTGAAAACATTTCTACTTTACCTGGTAGTTTCTGCTTTGTGCCAGGCATTAGTGACTTGCCACCACAGTAGGAAACCAGCAGGAGCACTGAAAACCAACCAACACCATGTGTAGGACATATTAACCATATGTAAATATTAAAAAATGAACCTGTCTTATGATCATGCTGGTTTAGAGGTGTGAAACTAAGTCTTTGATTCTTATGCTATCCTAGCAGTTCAGCCTTTCTACTTTTGAAATTATCAGAATGAAATGATAAATACATGATTTAAAACTTCAGGCATGCTATGAAGTGGCTGGCTTCAATCTGCGGAGGGAAACACTTCCACTCCTTGGTTAATGCTTTTGATACAAATTCTGTTTCCAGGGCTGGAAAGTTTACTTTATTCTGTGCTGTTTACTACGATAGGGAAAAGAAGGGAAAAAAAAAAAGAAAAAAAGAAAAACTGGTCGGAGCAGAGGCTCTTGCTGTTTCAGCCATAGCGAAGGAACCAGCGAAGCCGTGAGGTTTGTTTTGGTCACAGCTCATTAACAGAACGAGGTACTTGGTGCCCTGTTGGTCTCTGATCTCCATTACCGTTCTGCTGTGCCTGCTCTTGTGGGCGCCCACAGCAAATCCGCCCGCGGTGCGGAACCTTCGGGGCTGCGGGGTCACCTCATGTCGATGTCACCTTGTGCCGGTGTCACCTCGTGGAGGGGTGACCTTGTGCCGGTGTCACCCAGTGCCGCTGTCACCTCGTGGAGGGGTGACCTTGTGCTGGTGTCACCCAGCGCCGGTGTCACCTCGTGGAGGGGTGACCTTGTGCCGGTGTCACCCAGCGCCGGTGTCACCGTGTGGGAGCCGCCCCGGCCCCGCCCCTCAGGCCGCTGTCCCAGGGTGCCGCGCGCTGGCGCGCATGCGCGGCGGGCCGGCATGGCGGCGGCAGCGGCCTTGCTGGGCCGGGCCGCGGGCCTGGGCCTAGGCCTGGTCACGGCCGCGGGCGGGCGGCGGCTCCTCCGCTGCGGGACGGGAGCGGGGCTGCGAGAGCGGGGCACCGGGACCCTCCTCGATGCTGCCGTTCTGTGCCGGGCCGGTGGCGCGGCGGAGCGCTGCCTGTCTCGGGGGACCAGCTCGAATCAGCGCCCGAAGCGGCCCCTCACCGCCTATTTTCGTTTCGTGATGGACAACCGGTCGGCCTTCAGGGAAAAGAACCCAGGTACGAGCTGGAGGGGAGGCGGGCCCGTGCTTGGCGCTGGTGGGAGCCGGGGCTCCACCACCGCCGCCCCCGGAGCGGGGCCGTGGGGGCTCCGCTACCGCTGCCCCCCGAGCGGGACCGTGGCCTGCGCCCCCCGGAGCGGGTGAGCCGGAGCAGCCCGAGCAGCAATGCCTGTGTAAAACCGAGCTCTGGGAATGAGCTAAAGTGATCTCAGACACCCCGCCCGTCTATTTATCCGTGCCACTCCCCAGGTGAACCCAGCACGGTCATGCTCGTTGCCTGCACGTGCTTCATAAGTCAAAATAATGAACATAGTATGTAACTTTAAAAATGTTTGGTGAAATACCTCGCTTTGGTAATATATGGTAACAATGATTTATGATTCTCAATTATTTCTGGACTCTGTATTTGAAGTACATTTTTTGCTGATATTATGAGCCCTGTGTGTGATTTTATTCTGAGGTTTAGTAATTGAAAAATTGCAGGTACTGGATTGCATCACTGTATATGGGAGAAAAAGTAATTGTATTTAGGGGAAAATGGTTTCCTGTGAATATGTTTGATTTACTATCAAAAAATTCACTTAGAGGCAATGCAGTGACTCTTGCCAGAGAGCTGCAGAATAGAAAGATAAGCTGGTTTTGAAATACTGTTGAAGGTTAAAATGTTTAAAGAACTATGGTCATATTGGGCAAATCCTGAGGAAAATTTTAGTGGGGAAAACTAGTTGATACCCTGTTTAGCTCACCAGTTCAAGAGTTCCACAGTCTCATCTAGAACTGGAAATTTTACTTTTGATTTCTTCCCTGCTCTCCCCTCCAAATTCAGACCATCCTGCATTGTGCAGAAAAGTATCCAGCTGAAAAGGCAAAAAATGTGAAATTGTTGTAGAGTAACAGTAGCTGCCTTGAAATGGTGCTTCAGTTTATTACTGCATGTTGTGTTCCAGGTGAGCAGTGGCTCTTCCCCATCCCCCCAATATTGCAGTGCCCTTTAACTGCCACCATGACTTAGTTTTATGAAAGATAAAAATGCATTTGTACAGGAAGATGATACCTGTGACAGCTTTCCTTGGGAAAAGTTGAAGGAGCTTACTAAAGATACAATGTTGATCTTGATTTCTGGGCTTTCTCTTTTAACCTACAGAGGCCAGCAACACGGAACTGATTAAAAAATTGGCAGGTGCGTGGAAGGAGTTACCAGCATCACAGAAACAGGTAAGGTTCTATCCTTTCCTTGAGAACTTTGAACTCTCCAGGTGGTGGGGTTTTATTTGGTTTGGTGTCTTGTGGTTTTTTGATTTAGTCTGGTGGGGTTTTTTGGTCAGTTGGTTTGTTTCTAAAGGGCTTGAAAAAGCACATGTGTACAAAGGTTTAGACATCAAAACAGTTGGGAGAATTGGGAGATTGGAGTAACTCAGGGGAGGTGTGGTGGGGTGACCCTGGCTGAATGCCAGGTGCCCACCAAAGCCACTCTCAGCTGCTCTCCTCAGCTGGGCAGGGGGGAGAAAATACAGCAAAATGTTTGTGGGTCTTAATGAAGTAGGGAGAGGTCCCTCACCAGCTACTGTCAGGGCAGGACAAACTTCACTTGGGGAAGTCAGTTTATTACCAATCAAATCAAGTAGGATAATGAGAAATAAAAACTCATATTCTAAAACACCTTTCCCCCTACTCTCCCCTCTTCCCAGGCTCCACATCACTCCCAATTTCTCTGCTTCCTCCTGACAGCAGTGCAGGAGCACAGGGAATGGGGCTGAGGTCAGTCCATCATGTGTTGGGCTGACCTCAGCTGCTCCTTCCTGCCCAGGGGGAGAACTTGGGCTCCCTTCCTCAGGGAACAGCCTCCATGAACTGCTCAGAGTGTGAGTCTTTCCCCTGGGCTGCAGTTCTTCAGGAACTGCTCCAGCAGGTGTCCTTCAGGAACAGGCTTCACACGGGGTCACAGCCCCTTTGGGCATCCCCTGCTCCAGCGGGGTCTCCTCCATGGGCTGCACCCCAGGCTGCAGGGGAGCCTCAGCCCTGGTGCCTGGAGCATCTCCTGCCTCTCCTTCCCTGACCTTAGGATCAGTAGAAATGTTTTTCTGACGTGGTCTGCCTCCTTTCTGTGGCTGAAGTTGTGCAGTTTTCTTTTTCACCTTGCTAACTCTGTTACCCTGAGGTGCCACCACTGTCCCTGATGGCCAATAGCAGGTGCCACTTGGAGCTGGCTGGCCTTGGCTCCATCAGGCTTCTCACAGGAGCCATCCCTGTACCCCCTGGCCACCAGAATCTGGCCATGCAAACACAACACAGGAAGATACTTTCCTACTTGTACATGACCTTGGCTTTAATAGTTTTACTCTGTTGCCAGAGAAATGACACAGCTCTGGCTCCGTGGGGCTGCAAACCAATTCTTTCTCCTTTTTGAATGGCAATATTGCCTGACATGTACAATGCAGGTTTTGTAAAGTTGTTCTGCTCTCATGTAGAAGGCAGGTGAAACCTCAGTTATTTCTGATGAAAGGACCAACTTCATTTGCTTTATGTAAATTTCTTTAAGAGTCATCAAATTAAGTCATAAGTAGTGAAGTTTTTCTGAGTGGCAGTTTCAAGGGATAACGTAAAGCAACTCTGGGACTTGCCAATGGATTTAAATGCCATTTATAGCAAAGTAATGATTTTTCTTCCTTGACTGCAGTTAGCAGTCAGGAACTAAATTCCATTTCCTAAAGGAAATATTTAGTAGACCTGAGGTGTTCTCACATCCCTTTTGTGTACCCTTCCCTCCTCTGAGATGTAGAACAGGGAATCAAACAGATAAAAATATGATGTTCTGGTGTAAGATTTTCCGCCTGTAATTTTTCTACTCATAGGTTAGGAATGTTACCTTTGTCTAATGATCAAATGCTTCTGACTGAAAGCATCTAGCTGAAGTTTAAGGCTGGTGGTGGTTTGTGCTGTAGGTTTATGAGGAAGCAAGAAAGACAGACTGGAAAAGATACGGGGAGCAGCTGGCTGCTTACAAAGCACAACTGACTCCAGCCCAGGCTGCAGCTCTGAAAGAGGAAAGGAGAAAACAACTGGCAAGGAGAAGATCAATCAGGGCAAAAAGAGTAAGTATTTTGAAGTTCAGGTTTCTTTTCTCTCAAGGAACCTAAGTATGTTTGTCTAGTATACAAAGCAGAGTTGAAGCATGTTTTAGAAATACAAAAACAACTCAGAATAGAAAAAAACACACAACATACACAAACCCCCCAAAATGCCATGAACTAAAATAATTACTGGTGTTGGCAGCTAGTTCAGTGGCTTTGCTATGCTTGAAGAGCACAGAACTAGCAGGGATCTTTGTGCCTAGAGGTATTGTGCTCTATGCTTTTTTTCTCCCTATTTCTAGAGCTGCCAGAGAAAGGATAGGCACTAAAAGACATTTGGACCAGCAACACTTTCTTCAGGTGGGAAGACATCCAGAAATGGCTTTTCTCAAAGACCTTGTATCTGTTACCTCATTAGGCCCTACAAGGTAGCAGCTGTTTGAAGTAGCCTTTTTTCCTTGCTTTTTTGGGCTCTGCCACTGTGTAGCTGCTGCTTTGACATCTGTTTGTGTCCTTTACTAGCATATTCATAGGCACCATCTTCCCTATTCCTTTTTGGCTGGTTTATGTATAAATCCTTAGAGGCAGAACCATCTTTAACAGTACAGTATTATGGTTTCTCTGGAAAGGTCAAAGGGGTTATGTATTGCTCATTCATTTCTGTGAATTAAACTGTGACATTGCCCTAATTGGCAAAAGCAAAACAAGTTTGCTTTAAAAGACCCCTTCTTAAAAGGAGTTTGGAATCTTAATGATTCTGCTGATGCTTTCTAGAGGATGGCACCACAAGGAATTCAGTTGTCATATCTAATACCTAAGCAAATGTTAACTTACAGCACCTAGGCTCCAGTGGGAATGTCAGGACTGGAGAAAACAGAAGTGTCATTACATCTATAACTTGCTGTACTTTCATTCTCTAGCCATCATCCCTGTAGGCCAAAGCATTCTGATAGCAGAAACACAGTTCTCTTCCACCTTGCCACCTCCCACAGATAAGTGTGTGCCCTCTTCTCTGCACACAGGCAGTATTTCACTCCAGAAACTGAAGCCTTACTGAAGAATAATAGAAAATCTGTCATCATGACTTCCTTACAGAGTTGAATTTAGTAGCACTCTGGTTTCTGGAACACATAGCTGAAGTAAGAATCAATGCTTTTTCAACACCTTGTGAAAACTCAAGTTGTTACCTTTTTGTAGTTTAACATTAGTTTGAAAAGCACTAAGAGCATCTTGACATACAGTCCAGTTTACAGAATAAAACACCAAAGAAAGAATTGGTGTTTGATTTTTGCATAAAATATAAAGATAAATACTGAGTTTAGTTTTGGAACAAATGCATGCTTGGTAGATGGAATAACTTCTCTTGTTGTTTTTAAAGGAATTGAATCTGCTTGGAAAACCTAAAAGAGCTCGTAGCGGCTTTAACATCTTCCTGTCAGAAAATTTTCAAGAAAGTGAGGGAAATTCACCTGTGGTAAGCCAGGAAAGATTCTTTTTCTAAAATATATCCATTGTATTCAGAAAAATCTAGTTTAGATTCTGTCATTTTCAGAGATACTGTTCAGTAGTTCACTTTCTGGATGCTGCATTGCTTAGGTTGTTTTTTTAAGCTGTGGCCATCTGGCTGTACTGCTAGCATGGCCTGTATAAAAAAGTGATGTGTGGGTATACAGACTTTAAACATCTGTGCTATTTTTTGCACTTCAATGTTACAGACTTTTATCTGTTCCTTTTGTAAGGAGAGAATTATCTTCCCTTTGTTTTGATGTAGAAATAGAGTTGTTCAAAGAGCTGTGGTGGTGTGCTCCTGCTCTGGCAGTTTATTGTACCTCCTGTAGTTCAGCTGGTGTTATGGAATACAAGAGTTCCTCAGCAAACTCACAAGTTCTGCACTGAGCTGTGCTTTGGGGTGGTTTAAGTTACACTGCTGGATTCTAGCACTGGAGGTGCTGCAGACCCACCCTGTGTGCCTCACGTGCTCCTCACCCTACACATTTAGCCAGTAGGTCAGGATGGTGGACAGAGTTTGTTGCTCAGTTTTCCATGTACAAGGCAGGTTTCTCCATTCAGCTGAGGCCTGTATCTGAATGTGGCTCAGATGATGCCCAGAAGCTTGATTTGAGCTCTAGTTTATTACTTACTTAGATTAAAAGCTTAAATAAGGGGAAGCAAGCTTTTGTGCTTTTTTTGTATTGGTTTATGCTTGACTTTCACTCATGCAGTATTCATCTGTAGGTCTCTGAAGTCAGTCTACTCCTAAAATAAATCATGGATTGTATGTTCTGTATCCCCTAGGCAAAGCTGAAGAAACTGTTTGATACGTGGCAAAAAATGTCTGCATCCCAAAAGCAGGTATGTCAGAGGATTTGAATGAGGCTCTGATCTCATCAGAATTAAAAACTTGAGTCAAAATTGATATATTCATACAAAATCTTGAACTCAGTCACTCAAATTATGATACTGAGAAGAATACTCCAAGATCTTTATGCATCTTGAAAAAGATTGTCATTACTTTTATTCCAGTAGTGACTATTTAATTCATAGTTTTGTTGAAATGTGAGTCAGTAGGATAGGATGGAAGTTGGGTATGCCTTAAAGTGGATGCTAAGTAACATCTAGAAAAGAAGGTGGAATAATATGCAACAATTTGATTTTTTTATAATCATCCATAATATCTTTGAACACCAGCATAAGAATGTGCTGCTCATGAAAAGACTTCTTAGAAGGGAAAGTAACAGAAATCCACAAGTGATATGCAGGGTAATTTATTAACTTTGGTTGTCTGGGGGATCATTTTCTGCCAGTTTTCTGAGTGTATTGAACTATGAACCTGTAAATGAGCAAATCAAAAGTGGAGAGGTGCTGTACTGAAATCTAAACTAAACCTTGACATTTTCAGGCATTTTGTACCCTGCTGTCTTTCCTCCTGAATGCCCTTCTTCCAGGAGGCTTTCAGTGTGTACTTAGACATACCCTCGGTTCATGTTCTTACTGTAGAAAAATAATTTGAAATAATTCTACAGCAGTATCTATTCCTGTGCCTCACTTAGTCTAGCTGTCTCAAACTAGTGCTCAAATAAAAAACTCTTAACTGTTAGTAGCAGAACTTAATAAATCTCCTCTTTGGGAATGGCCAGCTGCTGACATAACTGCAATTTAGTGCTAAAGCTTTGTATTTTTCTGCAAGTTTGAGTTTTTTTGTTATTTTTTTCAATTAGCTGGGGTAGAAAGCAAATGCCCAGGCTGTTTATTTCACAGGTGTTGTTCTAAGTCACCTTTGTGTGTGGCAGTTTTCCAGAAAAAGCCCCTTGTGTAACTTGTTGGTACCTTCTTTTCTTTCAGCCATACTTGCAGCTTGCTCAGGATGATAAGGTTCGGTATGAGAATGAAATGAAATCATGGGAAGCAAAAATGATTGAGCTGGGGCGTGAAGACCTGGTGCGTTCCAAAAGGCAAAGGTTAAAAAAGAAACCTGCTGAAGCTGCAAAGCCAACTCCAACAGCCAAAGCCAAAGCTTCCTCAAGTGGAAAAAAGGCAAAATTAAAAAAATCTGAAGAATAGAAAATCCCCTTTGGTTGTCTTATTTCTGTCCTGCTGTGTTAATGCTGCAGTCAGCATTAGCACTGAAATGGGGAAGGCCCATGAAGGCCCCTTTGGAAAGGTGATCAGGTAAGAGAGGAGTTCCTGTCTCTCAGAACTGACTGAAATAATCACTGCAGGTGTAGCCTGAACTGTAGAATAGCAATTAATTAATCAAGCTGTGAATTCTGATACCCACTGACAGCAGCAGTGCTCTCCAGTAACGGTTGATAATATCCAGCTTTTATAAGGTATTTTTAATGAAAAATAAAAAATACTTTTTCTTTATGAAAGAAAGGATATTCTGTAATGTTACCATCTAAATTCTGTAAATAAGAGCTGCAATCTGAGTTAACACTGCTGTGTTGTATTCCCTCCATGTTATTGCTAGTGAGATGTTCTACATTTCATCAGGCACAAGAAACATAAAATGCTAGCTTTTATTTTATGCATCAGTCTTTTTGTACCTGTTAATCTGTGTATGCCACTTCTGTTGCATTTAAAAACCATGTGAGTTTTGTATGGACGTACCTTTATTGATTTTGATTTGTATTTGATTTTGTGGTTTTGTTTGGATACATACATTTTTGTCTTGTCACATGTGGGATGACCTAGAAGGAAAAGAAGTATGTGAACTGCTTGGACTTTGAGTTTTGGTGTAATAAATACAGGTATTTTGAAGAAGTGGTTGGCTTCTTTCTTGGCATTTCTCTTTCTTAGTTCAAGTCCCATTGGTATTTTGAGGAATCTCTTTTTAGAATGCAGGCCAACTTCTTCAGTATTTGGTGGATCCCATTTGTTCTCAGTGACCCATAAAGTAATGATGGAATTCCAGAAAGGCTTGGCTGGGAAGGAACCCTCAGGATCACATGGTTCCCACATCCCTCCCAGAGGAAGTGATGCCACTCACTAAATCAGGCTGCTCAGGGCCCCATCCAACCTGGCCTTGGACACTGTCACCTAAAAAGGGATATTTTCTTCAAACCCTTTGTGTTTGATCAGTCTATCAATGCCCTGGGCTTGACTGTAGAAATAAATTGGAAGCAATTATAGCCAAGCTCTGAGTGCCAGTGCAAGCCAGCTGGAGATAATCATTCAGTGCACATAGCATCACAGAATATCCTGAGTTGAAGGACCCAGCAGGATCATCAAGTCCATCTTGTGGCCCTCTAGAGGACACCCCAGGACAGACCCCCCGGGCCTGACTTGTCCAAACACTTCCTGAATACTGACAGGCTTGGTACTGTGACCACTGCCCTGGGAGCTTGTGCAGTGCCTGAACAGCCTTTGGGGTAAGAACCTTCTGGAACCTGACCTAATCCTGCCTGACACAGCTCAGGCCAGTCCCCTGGGGCCTGTTACTGGTCATGAGAGTGAAGAGATCAGTACCTGCCCCTCCAGTGCCCCTCAATGAGGTCTCCCCTTCAATCTCCAGTTTTCCAGGCTGAACAAACCAAGTGACTCAGATGTGCTGATGCTCAGGCCTCAGCCAGAGCTGACTTAGAAGATGAAACCTGGGCATTATGTGACTGACACCAGCAGTATTACTTACCTAAAAACAGATGACTGAGACACTTCTGCCAGCTGTTTCACACCAAACTGGCTGCTTTAGAAACCTTCACCTAACCTTGTGTAGTCATCTGCAAGAAATGTATCATTGCAAGAAATTTGCACAACTGACATGAATAGGATTGCTTGTAGGATATTTTATCTGGCCAAGTCCTGGTCCCTGCTGGATGAGAAGTGTGCCATCAGACCCAGGTGCTTCTGCTGAGCTTTTTGTCCTGGGACCTTCAGTGTGTGAGCAGTCCCTGGTGCCATTCTGACTATGGGAGACTGAAGGCTTAGGATGGTACCTAGAGCTGAAAAGGAAAGTGCTGATAGCAGGGTGGACCTGGTAAATCGATGGGTGCAATTGAAGTTGTAGACAGCAAGAGCTTTCTCAGTGAGCTCTGTTTTTGCCAGATGTTTTCAAGGTTGTGGCCAGACTCTGTAAGAGAGAAAAGCTTTGTTAGGGCAGAGGAGTTTGTGCTGCTCTTTGAGTGTGGTGCAAAGAAGGGTGTGCTCATGGAAGGGGAGGATTGGTGGAATCTTTTTGTCCTGACACAGCTGATTTGAGAGCAGGGACGTTTCCAGCTTGGCTCTGCCCGGGGGTGGTGCGGAGCAGGGCTCGGTGCGTGTCCTTCCTTTGCGGCTCGACAGCGCCACCGTGCTTTTGTCCTCCGTTGAGGAAGGGAGTTATGCCAAGGCGGTGGATTAAGGGGTTAAAGTACCCTAGAGACGTGGAGAAGTTTGAGAGAGGGGATTGTTTTGTGAGGATGAGTGTTTGGGCTATTTTTGAGATTTCCAGGGCTAAAGCGATGCCTCGGGCTGTCACAACCAGGGCAGTGATTTTAATGGAGAGGGGGATGGTTGTTGGAGGGGTTTTTGTAGGGATGATAAATGAAGTGATGAGGAATCCTGCTAGGATGCTTCCTAGTGCATCTGATGGGTGGTTCTGATGGGTGCTGACAGTGCCCAGACAAAGCCAAGCACTTTCTGGCCCGGCCCTGCTCCAATGGGGGCAGTTCAGGAGAGAGTTCCTGGAGACAGAATGTGATCTGCAGGAAAGGAAGAGGAATTGTTTCATTGTGGCTTTGCACTTTATAGGCTGCAGAAGAAAAGGCAATTCCAGCATGGTCTCTTCCTTTTAGAGCCCTTTCTGTGCTCAACACATAACACAAACCCACTGAACTCCATCCAACACCCTGGAGATATGGGCTTTCCCTCTGGCACTCTAACTCTCGCAGCAGCTCATGTCCAGCCACTACTCCCAAAGAAAAAGTTCCAGGGCAAAAAGCCATTTCTGGCCTTCACAGCCCCTTGGCAGTCTGTAAACCAGACAAATCACACTAGTGATCCATACTGCTCAAAAATACATACAGCATCTTCACATTCTCAAGGTGGCAGAGTCCATCATTGGAGTGTAGCAATTCCATCTGCAGTTCAGACAGAGTGGTGTGCCAGGAAAGAATATATTTGCTGACCTTCCCTCTAACCCTGTAAAACCCGTTTTCCAGTGCAATCACTTTCACACAACTTCAACATGGTCCACAGTCCAAGCAGCTATATCTCACAAAGAAAAAGTGTCAGGACAGAAGACATTCCTAAGGCAGCCATTTCTTCCAGCACCATTTAAATTGCACACAGCATATTTGGAATACTCACTTTCCTTCTAACATACATGAAGTGGCTGATTTTTAACTCTCATGGCTGGGCTGCAAATGCAGAGCAGCTGCCCTGTCAAACTGGACAAGTAAAAGCCAAGTTGGGCTGCACCTTCCCCTTGCCACATGTACATCTCACAAACTCCCTGCTTCCCTTCTCTGCTGCATCTACCACTGTGTTCTCTGCATCCTGAATCCTAGAGGTGAGTGCAATTGTTTCCACAGAGGGCTGGAAGAGGAACAGGGAGCAGCACAAGCAGCTCTTGTTGAACTTGCTCCTTCTGACTGCTCACATGAGCTGGGCTAGCAAGGGTGTGGCAGCCCCGCTCCTCCTGCAGCCTGGAACACTGTGCTCACAAGCACAGGGCTTGAGTGGCTTCATTCACTGCCTTTTTTATCACACTCCCATTCCCCAGAGGTGAATATTTGTCAACTATTCCCCCCTGCTGCAGCTTTTATATGAGCCATAAAATAAGGAATGGAATATTTTGAACTGAACATTTATTTTCTCTGGCACTCTTAACAGAGATATACATCCCACAACCTAACTTAACTTCCATTACTTCGAAGGATCTCAGTATTTTTAGTATTTGGGGAAGTAATTCTACTTCATCAGAAACAGAACACCATAGAGGAAAATAGATAATGCACAACTTCTTTATGATGCCCTCAGGCTTTGTATTCTCTGACTACAGGAAGAGAGATGGGTTTTTTAGTATAGTCTTTAACACAACTTCTTTCAAGAGCAGATCTATCTAAAAAAACTCAACCAGAAGAGCTTTGTTCACTCTGTGTTGTATATGCCAGACATTCCTTGTATTCATGTGCAGGCAACCTACAACACTAATTCTTTTATTTCTTTTGCAGCTTTAACTACTCATCAGGAACATAAGAGGTGTGTAACTTTTTCTTTTAAAAGAACATTCTCTAAGAACACAGCCCAGACAAAGCTGGCACTTGAATGCTTACATACTGAAGCAGTTTATAATCATTATTATGATAGTGCCAGTGTAGGAATTCAAAACAGGAGCACCCAGCACCAGGAACAGGCACAAGGAACCTCAAAAGCAAGCAGATACACAGCAGAACATGCTGAAAAGGTAATTCCAAGTGCTCCCACTTATTTCCCTTTGCATGCATCTCATGGAAAGAAACTCTAAAATCCCTCCAGGATGACTTCCAGAAGTTCTGGAGTGCTGAAGCCCTGCCTTGGCAAGAGGCAGTGCTACTGGCAGATGCTCCAGCTCACAGCCTGGCAGGCCTTCCTTCCCTTCCCCAAGCAGATTTGTAACCAAGTTTTCTTGGGCAGCTGGCACACAGCTGGCCACCACAGCTGTAACAGCATTCAGAAACACAAGCTTGTCTTTTGGGTGATCCTGACTTTCTGCTTCATTTAACACCCCTTCATCCAGCACAATGTAATTTGAATTTTGTTTGGTTCACAAACCCATAAAGAAAAATGTCATCCTCATTTTTGCCACTCACTCCAACTATGACAAGAAAAAGTAACTTAATTACTGCATCTTTTTTCTTATCATTATGATGCATGTGAACCACTTAGAAAGAAAGGAGGAGGAGGAAGAAGACTCCTGGCATTTCCTTGAGACAGTGTTCTCATTTAACAAGACCCTTTGCTTGCAAATGCAGCTGGAAAACAAAACACCAGGACAGGAGTAACCCGCTCCTGAAGATGCTTAGGTAAAGTGGCCTCCCCTGCCCCCTCAAAAAAAAGCAAAACATTTTTTATTTGAACAATATAGTTAGGCAATGTGTGGAATGCTGCGCTCCAATAGAGATAGCCATGGCAAAAGCAGTTTTTTTCACCTCCCACTAATACTCCCTGGCCTCTGTGCTGCTCAGCACACTGACACTAACCAGTTTCAGTGCTGCTCCCCTCCCAGTGAAATGCTCATACAGGTCATTGACATGAGCAGTGTTTGAGTAGGGTGGCCCAGAGGCAGGCAAGAAAGAGGTGTTTTCCATGTAGAATACTTAAAAACCTTTTAACAATCTTACCTGAGATATACACTGGTTTCCTGCCCAGTTTATCTGACAAAGGGCCAAATGTGATATTTCCAATGAGCATTCCAGCAAAAAACAGGGATGATGCGAGGCTTAATCTGTAGACTTCTTGTTCAGTTAGGTACCACTATTAAAAAAAACCCCTTATTAAAAGTATGCCTTTCCCCCAATAATAAAAACTATCAAATTATTCTCTTATCATTTCCCACTTCTTGTTTTCTATCCCATTAAAGTTTTATTCAAAGTTTGATAGGTAAGCCAACAGTAGTGATCGTCTTTCCTCCATAACAGATTCTAACATGTTTCCTCCTGGAAATTTCCTTGTAATAAATTAAAATTGTTCCATGTGGTAAGCAACATTAGCTGCACCCCAATTCCCAAGCTTTGGCAAGGCAGCTTATCTTGGGCTATTAAAACAAGGACTTGTGAAAAGCAGAGCTATTTTACCACTAAACCAGCAGAGTTATTTCAATGAGGAGGTATTAAAATTTCTTCACTAAGAAGTACAATGCACATTCACTACTGCAGTACTTAGAGAGTTAATGCTGTGCTTTCTGAACAATAAGTGATCCCTGGTGCCTTTCCTCACCCATGAGGTGAGGAAAGACCCATGTTGAGCTCTTGAAGAGAACCAGAAAGGGATTACAGCAAAATGTCTTGGTTCTTAGAAATGCTCAGAACTCCTTATGGGCTACTCATTGTACTCAGTGCTATTTCAGTATCTTATTGTACACGTGCATTTATAATAAAAGTTACAAATAAATTATAGGTTTCTTTATAAATTATATTTTTTACCTCATCTAAAATCTAAAGGGAGGCAGCACAACCACAAATCATCAAAGAGAAGAAAATTAACTAAGAGTGGATTAAAAATACTATTTCCCAACAGGGCAAGGCACACAGACAGCTTGTACAGTGATTAGTTCCTGAAGCAGAATATAAGAACCACTCTGGAGTTTTTTGAGAACACTCCCTGCAAAAGCACAACAGAACTGAGAATATTAAAGTTCCATTAAGTTGAATCTCCATCAACAAAATAAAGGAAATAAACTCTACAGAAGCAGCCCTTGCAGGGCAGAACAAGAGAAAAGATTGCTTTTACAAACTGGTACTTTAGCTGCTCAGTGGCTGCATGTTTCTATTTTAGCAAGTCTGATATAGTGACATGTGAAGAATATAACTTTTAAAAGAATGCAGCTACCTACTTTATTTGCACAAAGGGAGCTTGTTAAATATTCTTCAAAATTAACTGTAGCTTGCCAACAAAAATGCTGCCAAGGAGAGAAGGGGCTGCCAAGAGAGGAGGTTGGTCCAGGCAGGACACTGGGGGATTCAGCCACATCTCTCCAGCAAACTGGCACTCAAAGGGGAGCTGCAAGAGACAGCCCAGAGAGAAGCAGAACAGCCTGGCAGTTGCTCCATCGTGGTTTGAACAAGGGAGCAGCTTCCCTTCTTTCATGGCCTCGATTTAAGAGCAGCATTGTTTCACATCAAGATTTAATCTAGACTAGATAATTGCAGGCCTCCACCAAAGGTTTATTTTGCTCAGTAGCCTTCTCCAAAGGCCAGGAGATGGTCCTGCCAATTGACTGATCAATTTGAACTACTAGAAATGCTCTTTTCACCCAGGGGCTTGGAAAGTGACACCTAAAAGCTTCACATCCTGTGAACAGCACAAGAAACTCCCTTCAAGTTAGCAAGAATAGAGACATGAACCATCATTAATTAAACCTGCCAAAAAGGGGTTTGACAAAAGCACAGTGAGTGGCTGTTGGTCCAGTTCCTTCAAGACTAGCACACATGGTTATGCCTGCATTTTTCCTAGCATTACATTTGTTTACAATCACACTAACTTTATACAGGGTTTTAGATTTGCTTTGGGGCTTTAAAAAAAAAAGTCTTTCTGCTCAGCCATAGAAAGAAATTCTATTGTTTAAGGCAGTAAGGTAGGATGACTTTCCCTCAGTTTTCTTAGTTCATTTTTACTAAAATTAGTAGAAAGATTAGCTGGGGTGGTGAAGCTCTCTGAGGAAGCAGAGAGTGCCACACAACATAGTGAGTGTTGTACACAGGAAAAACTAGTGAGGGTCAAAGTGCTGCTTACCTTGCAACTGTTAAAAGCCTGGAAAAAATGAACTTTCTAAATAATTTCTTAGCTTCCCCATCCACGTAGCCACTGTACATTAGCAGACAGCAGTGAAATCCTACATTTTAAATTGCTTGTAGTCTCTGCTCCAGCTGCTTTCATAATTCCTTTCCTAATGCAAACAGAGCAATCTGTTGCTGAACTTTGGCAAAGGCAGGCAGACATAAGACAGGCTCCCATTCTGTTCCTTAAGACAACTACAGAAAGGAGGAAAATCATTTTGGAAGGCTATTGATTTTACAATATGTATTAGATTTCCCCTCATATGCCACCATTTTTTCCCATACTAGTGGGGAAAACACACAATGCCTCAGAACCTAAAACCCAAAACCAAAAAACCAAACAACAACATAACCCCCCAAAAGACCTGCCAAAATTGCTGCTGCTGAATATTTAACATTTTAACCCAAGATATATATACCAGCACTAGGTTTTGAATAATCAGATTATTCCCTGAGAGGGTCTTACCAGCATCACATTAAAAAGCAGGAAGGCAGCTTGTAGCCCACATTCAGGGGTGCTTCCACTACCTGCCAAATGTCAGCTGAAGAAATAAAGGAAAAAGAGTCAGCATTGCTTTCTGACATCCACCATTTCTTGGCAGGGTGCTTGTACTGCATGAACTTGTCTGACATCAGTCACTGGAAGGTGCCTTAAGAGTCAGTCTGTGCTTCTGGGATGGATTTTCATAATGCTTAAAAACTATTTATTGCTACTGTCTTTTAAATCTTTCTCTTCAATTAGCCATATCAAGAAATTCTTTTATTTGAGGAAGTAAGCCAGGAAGCCTTGCAAACAAGACCCAGAAAAATGTGGTTACTGAGGATTTTGCTTGGGTTTTGGTAGGGGTGTTAACAGATGACTCAAAAGGAGGTTTGAAAAAGGAAAGGGCCAAATTCATCTATGCATCTCCTCCTCTGGATTATCAGAAAAACTCTGACTAGGGAATGCAACACAACATCAGTTTGATGTCCAGCAGTTCCCCAGCAAGTTACACTCTTTTGGGACACTGAGCATCTCAATTTTCATTTACTCTGAACAATACATCTAATCAAACCAGGCATGTTCAAATTGCCTTTAACTCAGAAACACAGAAACCTTTAGCAGGGTACATTTCATTTCAGCCTAAATTAGCTTCAGACTTCATAGCAGAACCTCAAGGGCAGTTTAGTCATACTTTGAAGAGTTTTTCAAGCCTCTCCAAAGTTCAGCTTGTTTTCAGGTTGTTTTTGGTGCTTGAACCATTACAATAAGTAACAGAATACAGATTACACAGTGACTAGTTTGTTAATAGTAATTCAGGTAATAAAATATCCACTGCATCTTGCTCAAAGCAGCATTTATTAAAGACAGCATCAAGATAAGTCAATGCATAATGAAGTTCCCATCCTACAAATATGTAAACAAGTTGACAGCAAGTTATTATTACAATATAAAAATTAAAGCTTACATTGCATTTTTTTAAAGCTACTATCTTCAGTCCAAATGTATATTCTCTGGTTTGTAGCATTTAAAAATACAAGTTCTTGAAAAATGTTAAAGTATTGCCTTTGCACATACATTTTTGTAGAAAAAGTACTTAAAAATACCAACTTCCCATTAATAAAAGCAACACCAAAAATAAAACACATTTTTGTCATGAACAGCACATTGAATGTGTCCAGCATTTTCTTCACCATTCTCTTTTACCAAGTTATCTTCTATTTTAAAATTCATTATAGTTTGCAAAATGTTTGTTGGATGTTATTCAGTTACTTATACACACCAAAGGAATTAGCAATTACATTGCTAATATTGGCAATTACATTGCAATTAAAGTCCAGCCTAAGCTCACTTGCAGCTGAGGCCACCAATTTAATCCTCATCTCAGACTGGGTATTTTAACAAGCACAGTAGACTCTTGCTAAGAAAGCTGAGTCAGTTCAGATGTATTTTGGAAAGGCTTGAAACCTTGATATGATTTAAACAGAAATATATATTCTCTTTTAAAGCATTTTTAAACCCCAAGTCTTTGCTTTACTACAGTCAAATTAGCAGTTCTGTTGGTGGCAGTCAGTTCTCAGGAAACACTTTGTTCAGAAGATTAGATAATTTGACATCAACTACATTTTACATTCCAAATCCAAAAAGAGTGCTACACATCGATTTTTAACATTTTTTTCAAGAGGTTTCCTGGCAAGAGCTAGACAGGTGACTTCTGGAGTTGCTAAGGCAAAACAAGTTTGAAAATTCCCTGTAAGCAAAGTTAAAAGACTGTAGTGTTTCCAAACCAAAGTAAACTAAATACACCAAGGAGAGAGAACTATGTATCACTGGGATGAGAGCTGATCATGCCACTGTGCCCTGACAAACATCAGGCTTGTCATTGTGCCCTAACAATCAACAGTAAGAAGAAAAAATCAAGATAATCCAGTGAACCAGTTTGAGGATGAATTCAAAGATCAAAATCAGGCTGGCAAGAAAATATTTTTACAGTTGGCTGAATTAGACTGAAGAAAACAGCTAGGAAAAGATTAAAGGTTTGATCATGTAAGACAGTTACCTAAAAGAAGTACATTTATATGCAAACAGTCATGAATATGAATAATACTGCCAGCTTTCCTAATTCCATGCAAGTTCCAGGAAGAGGAGGATTTATTCAGCCTTTATCACTACTGAGTTAGTAAGTTAAGTCTGCCAGAAGTTACAGCCTCAGGTACATAGAGACACATAGAGCAACTTCCTGACAGAAGTGTGGTAGAGCCTGAAACACTTCAATGATCTCTAGCCCTAGAAATGTGTTAAAAACATAAAAACAACCTCCAAAACAGGATCTACATGAACCTGTAACAGGAATTCTAATTCTGAAAAAATGGCTTACTCTACTCCTTCGTGCAGGATTATGATTGGTACAAAGATGATAATTTTTTTTTGCCATGCTTGCTGGTAAAACAAGCATGATTAGTTACAGCAAAATGTGTCAGTAAGTGCTCAACTCTACAAGAAGAGTCAGAGATCCCATGCCAGGCCCAGGTTAGTCTACTATTCAGAGAGGGGTGAGATGCCAATACAAGAGCTTAGTGTTCCTTAGAGTCCAATACACAGACAAACCTCAGGAGAACAGAGGAGCAGCACAAACATTCCTGGGGCAGAAGTCCCACCCTCTGGGGGAGGTTGCTTTTGTGATCACTCCTTGCCCACAGCTCCTTAGAAAAGCTGGATAACAAGGGACAGGTTTGGTTAGGGAATGGGATTTTTTGCACTGTACTCATCTGGGAGGGAGCAGCCTTCCTGTCTACTGCTATCAAACTGTGTTTCTGAGTGAAGTATTACAGGTTTCAGCCTTTTCATCACACGTGGCCTGCTGGGACTTCTCCCTAAAGCACTGAGTTCCTCAGAGATGCTGAAGTGCTGTTGTATTTGAGCACAGCTTTGCACAGGGCTTGGAGACGCTTGCCACAGCCAGGGAGGAACAACACCAACACAGACCAGCTGCATTTGTACCCACAGAATTGAAAGCCTGGCTGAAGTGTGCAGAAAAGTGCTTTGAATGCTGCAGACCAGCAGTGAATTGCTAGGGCTGTAACAGAAAAAAACCTGCCCAAACCTCAGGAATATATTTCAAATCTCTGCTGGAGACTTGCAGATGACTGTCAATACCTGGGGAAAGGTTTAAGGATTGAAGCCAGAGATCCCAGGATAAGAGGAATCCCTGCCATTTTCTCTTTGAGGGAAGTAAACAAGGTCTGTCCCAAAGATACATAATAAAATACTATCTGCAAAAAGTGGGTGGCTTCTCCCTGAATCCACAGTAGAAATATAGTCACACAGTAAACTAGAGTCAGCCTAATTCTCAGATCTGCAGAAAATAGTACCAAAGGTGTCCTAAAAAAGTAATTTTGACAAGTCATTGCATATTGAAAGACATTTCAAAATTAATCTCTGTGCAGATATGCCATGGGACTCTAGGTTATGAAATGACTGACTAAATCAACTAGACTTTTAGAAGAAGCTATCTATATGCAAATATTTTAGTAATAACTTCAGCAATAAAAGAAAGTACTACACAGGCCATTTTAGAATCCACATATGGTATGAAATATACACTCATACATGTTCTGAAGTACATCTATATAAATATATTTGTTCTTAAAGCAATGTAGACCAAACTAAACCAGGGCCTGACTAAGCTATCATACATACCTTGATGGCAGCATGACTTGAACACACAGCTCATGGGCTGATCAGATCCCTGAGGCATATCACTGGAATTGCTACAAGTTTTACTTACCACAATTTTAACCAAAAACTGATTTAAATCAGGTTACATCTCTTTAGATGGAGGAAGACAGACACAAACAAAACAATCCAACAAACAAAAAAACCCCAAAACCCCCAAAAAAACCACAAAACCCACACACAGAGACAAAACCCACACAGCCCTATTATACATAGAAAGGCACCTGATAATATTGTTAGTAGCAAATATCTACAGCATCCTAAGTGTACTTAAGGAATCAAGATAAATTTTTAAAAGATCATAAAATACAAGAATTGCTGGCATTCAAAATGTAACTGTAACATATCTAGCAAGTCACTAAAATGACATGTGCAGTTGTAATCATTAAGAGTGTGCAAAACTACAGAGTTTTGCATAAAGTGCTACATGTACCCCCAGTTTGCTAAGCTTGGCAATATGATGCAAGATGATGATGTTAAGGATGTTTCCTACCTCCCTTACCTTTCCTTGTTCTTTCCCACCATCATCCACTGTCCTTTAAACTGTACATTTAAAAATTACACAAAGGCCTTTTCAGGAATTGTAGTTCAGAAAAATATTTCAAGTATATCTATCTTTCAATGTAAACTTGGGGACAGTATGATTCAATTCTCACAAGCTCTAGATACTTAAATCTTTTGCTAATTTAACTGGAGTTGCAATTATTTCAATCTGTATAATATCTCTGTCCAAAGAGTATTGCCTATTCCTCATGTAACTCCTATTTAAGGAGTGCTGAAATTCATGCTGTAACTTGTCCAGATTTAAATCTAAACAATTCTAGAAAAACAGAGTAATACTTTATCTGATCACTTGGGTTCACAACAACAAGTCCTACCATATCTGTTCATACAGACTCATTTTAGGAATTGTACACAGATCTTTAACACTTGAATTCAAGTTATTATAGTACAGCAGTTTCTCTTGCAGGCATTGTGCAGTACACTTAAAAGTATACAGCAGGTCTCTTCTTTACTC